TAGTAATAAAAACAAATAAACGGTTTAATGATTTGAATAGTAATCATACGTATGACTGCCTTTCATAGCAATCAAAGGCCTGCCAACCGGAACAACACGATTGCCGTCCTTTAGGGTCGTAAGCGACGGGCGCTTCCCAACTGTATGTCATATTCCAGTGCCGGTAGGCATCGGTAACACACGTCATAGTGATCAGGTACATTTTTTGAAAACATGCTACAACTATAGGGGGAGCATCGGGTAGATTTTGATGGCTCACACCAAATGACAGTACAATTATTAAATACAAATAAACTACACTTTTGTTATACATTTTGTTTGACATTTAGTTTTTTACACAAATTATTGTTTTACACCAAAAACACAATAGAGTTTATATATGAATGACATATACGTGCAGTTCATAGATATATTTCAAGCATTATGTATATTATATTTACACTAATTATTAAAAATATTATTTATTTTCCATAAATCATTATGATCAGATTAGATTATAGCACATAGAATGTGTATTTATAAACCTTTGTGAGTGAATTTGGTAATATTCAGGGTAATTTTTTAGAATTGAGTCCATATTTTCAGGGTTTAAAAATGTTTATTGATGTAAAAATGCATGTATTGTATATTATTAATAAATATAATATAATTTATATATGATATGAAATTACTAACTCATAAGAAATTGATAGTTTTGAACATAGAGTACAATATTTCGTAATAATTAAGTAATCAATACTATGAAACATTATTGATCATAAATTATATCATAAAATGTTCAATCGTTATAAATAATTATGAATTATATAATTGTCTAAACAAGGGTTTTATAATAAACAACAATACTTAAATATTGTGGCATATGTTATGGTTTTATCAAAACTTAATGGGAATTGACAAATGTGTTAAATTATGTATTTAAATGAAATGAAATATTATTTACATTTATATTTTATAGTTAATAAGCCCATACTGTAGAAACGGTAAATATTACAATTATTTTAAATTGAATTAACTTGTAGTTATTTGAATGAATGAATGAATTATTTTATTTTTAAAAATTATTGCAAATAAATGATGAATTAACATCATTTATAATTAACATGTTAAATGAACATCAAATAAGAAATCACATAATATTCATTTAGTTTGAGATACAATAGAAAACTATTAATTTTAGGGTATAAATCATTTACTTTGCAAATATCAAGTTCAATTACTATAAGTTTCTAGTTAATTTGCACTCTTTGGAGTGATACGGGTACTTTTGGCAGTTCTCCTTCTCTTCGTCAGCAAACAGTGTCTGGATATATGTCTGAAAATGTGTCACTTCATCGGCACTACATTTAGCCTTCAATACAATTAACAATTAATATGACTTTTGAATCAATAATCAATATCTATATGAATACCTTTGCGGCGATCACCAGACAGTCCCCTTCCTCCCAAGCACTACAACAGGCGTTCTTAGACTTGGGATCAGTCTTATCGGTGATATTCCAATCTTTGATGGCCTGTTCCCCACAATTCTGTGT